GAGAAACTAGCTGAAAAATTCATTATTATGTTTCTCTGATAAAGGAGTAGATGTCTTGGATGGAGCATGAGGAACAGCTTGAGACTGGAATATTTCAAACAAAATAGGGTAATTAGAGAGCATGAGAATCTCAGTTAAGGGTTTATCCTTCGGAACCATTTCTCTGGAGGTCCATTTTGGAATGAATGACAACATTTCTTAAACAAACGTGATGGGTCTATACAATCGAATCGACAAACGAGTAAAAGAGCCGTGATTCAAGTAGAGAAATGCTACAATACTACTATATCTAGAGATCTATTGCACAGTGCAATTAGTTGAGTATTTGTGGAATATCAATCCACTAATGATCATTGATTGTCCTGCTGGACACCGTATAGATAACCCTGGAAAGTGTTGTGCGAATTGCATCGGTCGTAATTGCAGACACATCGGAATAGGAATTCTGGACGTCCAAATCGTGGCGATACTTTGGCGAGGTCGTACTTCTGAAAATTGAAGAAACTTACTTCCTCACCTTTTCGTGAAGGTGCTATAAATATGGCAAATACAGTCGCGATCCCTGGGAATGGTAGGGCGTCTGGCGGTGGCATGGCATGGACCGCAGCCAGAATATTCCTCACCAGTTGTTGCAAATTCCAGATGACATTACTGGTGGGGAAGAAAGCGCCTTCGCAGCGCTCCAATACGCGCCGCGTCACATGCCCTATCATTTGCAGGCTTCTGGACTGTACGCCACCAGAGATTTTTTGGAAAATTTTGGGCATCTTCTAGGGAAACCCCAAGCCTTTAGACTTTACGGGTGATTGGAATTCTCTTTTCCCCTCTCTATGGTAGCCTTATTCACTACGATTCCCGTTGCTGAGAAATCCCTACATCTGCTCGTAGTCTCTGGGTCTCATTTCCGTCCGTTCAGCTGCAAGGTTTACACCTTTCAAACCTTGACCATGCCTTCTGCCGGAAATGGGTCTTTCGGGGGCACCTTGACGGCGACAGGGAGACCCTCTAGGGAAAGCCTGTCTTGTAGAGGCCTAAGAGCATTTCTTTGATCCATTCGCTGCGAACTGCTCTCAGGTGTCACCTTTTGCCACCAAGTTGAGCTAGTCTGTTCCCAAAAAAAGCTGTTCGTTCACCGCAGTCTCTGCCGGCCGCCTGTGACCGATCCAGAGACCGCTCGCTAATTCTATGGGTAGGTAATTACATCGCCTAGCTTGAAAGCATCTACAGGTTATTAGCGATAAGAACAATGCTGGTGAGCAGGTGGAGAGCTGGACGACCTCAAAGAGCTAGCCTATGATCGCCGGTTTGAGCGCTAAGCGACACCTCCCTTGGACATATGTCCGCTTTAAAAGTGTAAAAGTGCTGGTTTGGGGCCATTTGTAGGGAAACTTCCATGAATTCAAGGAATATATTCGTTCAATGCCTCACCTCGTATATGCAGACAGTGAGAACCTTATAAAGAGCGTCGGATTGATTGAACGTACTGTCATAGCCGCTCAAACTTTCGACATCTTGTCCTGAAAAAGGTCACTAATTAAAATTTGAATTTCAGCTGCCCTAAGGCTAACCGTCTGGACTTACCAATGCCGAAGACCCTTCCTTCAGCTCGCTCCGTTTCGGGAATGAGGGCACAATAAGTCCATTCCTCATTGTACACTTCTTTGACGTCACCCTTAACAAATTGTTTTTGTCAAGTCTTCGTGTCGGGAACAAAGCTCATTCCGTCAACCCCTTCCCATTCCGCGTCGTGCACTCGGTCACTATTTTTCCCTGCGTTTAATGGCAATTTTCAGGTTGAGCAGTCCCATTTGTAATCGAATTCGGCCCAAATTAGTGGGGAAGTAGATTAATTAGGTCTGATAGCGATATCTCCCGCAGACTTGATCGGTCTTTCAACCCGTCTACTCATGGGAAAGGACTTAGGAGGAATTCTAAGGTCTGGGATGAACTGACTCTTCCATGCGGTAGAAACCTATGCTAGACCTTGCCCTCTTTTTGAAGAAGTTATTCAGATGAAGGTGATGGTGATCAAATCCCTTTGAACAGTTATCAGACTGTTCAAAGGACTCGCTCCCTTTCCACCCAGGAGCTTTTTGCCTACGAGCTTGAATTACTGTACCTCGAACTAAAAGGTTTTGCCTTCAGTTGTGGTTCTCTGCCCCTTCACTGCTTTTCTCAGACTATACTAGAATAATAAGTCGTATCTACTATGCGCTCGCCCTGATTTACCAGTTAATTTATTTCCCCATAAATAATTTGCAAAGGAGTGGTCATAAATTTTATTGCGCATTTGAATCCCACAAATAGAGTAAGCGGTAAAATGAGGTAGAAGTGAGCATGGAAGTGATAGCTAGTCGGCTGGAAAAAACTCACATTGGCATCATTTTCGTAGCAGACAAGAGGTTGTGAAAGTGGTAGAATGCCAAGTAGGAATGCCACCAATCGAAGCATCACTGACGTTTGAGGTCAACTGTGGTCTGGAGGTTGTACCACACGGCTGGCGCTATAGCACTGTCGATCTCACCCGGACGGCTTTTATTCGTAGTGGGCGGGGCGAAATCAGCTTCTCGGCTTGTCGTTCCTTATTTCTCTGCTCTCTCGCATCTCCATTTATTATATACAAATCATGGAGGTTTCTGCAAACTCCAAATATCACTGAGCATTCTGAAAGGAAGCTCAAACTCCCAAGGAAACTTGCAACTGAGTGCTTGGACATTTAAAATAGGTTTTTACGAAGTTCTAGCTTGGAAGTCAACGCCTTTCTATTACTCTATTCTGTGAAACTGGAGATGCGTCTTTTTTTCGTAGGATGGGCGTGGTCTGCTTCAGAAAATCTGAAATGCCATCTGCCTGCCCTTTTTTCCAGAAAGTTTCAAGAATGGACCGCCTCTGCCCGTGATTTTTCATAGTAACTCTCCACTTTCAAGAAACTGGCGCGATTTTTCCGCTGAACAACTAAAAGATAAGGATTGCGGAGCCCTAGAGCTTACCTTAGCAAGTGGGAACGGGGAACATTTTGAAATTGATTAGTGAAAACTACGGGGATGATCGAGCTCTGTTCATCTCTTCCTCTAACGTGCGCATTCGAGGCTTGGATTCTGCACTGTTAGGATAAGAGTGGGATCAGATTTGTCCCACGTGCTGTAGAGAGGGCGATGCTTGAAGCTTCCTTATAAACCTAATTTCGGGAGGAAACACGGCACACTGAACTCCGCCAACAATCAAAGACCACAGATCAGGGCCACCGTCACGTGTGTGAAGGAGTTCAAGCCCAGATAGGCCGAACACGTCATGCGATTTTGCGATGACCACTGGACCGAAGAGGTCACCGTTTCGGTCTCCGGGGACGCCAAACGAACGTTACCATGGCCGCTGGTCAGACTTTTTCGTGAAATCTACTCAAAAACTCGATGAGACACTCTGCGTCCCTCTAACGAGGAGAATTCGCTGGAGTACGCTGACGTAAGGCCATCGCGAATGGAGATAGGCGCTTATTTGAGCGATTCGAAGATCTGTCGGTCGAGGGTTTGTCAAAATACTAATGATGTTACCTGGTTTAGTTAAGAATTACATTTGACAAATGCTCTCAACTAGCAGCGGACTCCCTTCCCGTCCGCTGCTACTTGGAGGAAGCGACCGGCCTCCGAAGACGAACAATATAGAAATTCAATAAAATTTGCTTTCGTATTCGTGAGAACGTATTATTCAGGATCTATTAGTTAAAGCAGTCTCACTTTGGAGCAAGGGAGGCCCCCCCTCCATGAACTTCCCGCAGCAAACCTTGGAGATACGGAAGGCACAGTTGACAATAGCAGGATTAGCCTTTCGGAATACCTCTGTCACATGGTCACCCGTTCTCTGAATTGAATTTTCTCCAGTCTATATATAATTATAGCAATAAGAACGTTTCCAGAGCAACAGTGCAAGAAATGCAAAAAAAAATTGAATAAATATAGCAATAGCGAAATGAAAACGGTTGTAATTCGAGCCGCTAATAGCTATTTCTCAGTTCCAACACGTAATGCATGGGAAATTTTGTAAAAGTTCGTGGAAGTAGTGCTAAGTAAAGATATGGCAGGTGGCACCTGATTACCACGCGCACGCTCGGATCCCACTTCGATTCCTCATCAACACAGCGCTTTGGGCACTTGGTAGAAAAACTCTTCGGGAGATAAAGTCTCTGATTTTATGGGTCCTCTCCCAAGTCTTCAAGCATGAAATATATCGTATACCAAAGGTGCTACTGCTCCGACTGGAACTATGGGGTTTAGCTAAAGTTCTATCGCGCAGCTATGGGATTATGGCTCGAATAAACTAATGCTGATGATCTTGGCCAATCGGAAGATGTTCAACGCCTGCGCTCGGTGTTTGATCTTGATTAAGGGATTGCTTATCTCGCAAATTTCGCTCTAGGGCTAAATTGATGAGAAGAGAACGGGTCCGCAGACTTAGGTGCATGGGGTATCCTAGCGGTGCTTTTGAACTTTCTGACAGTTTATCTTTGTGACCTGCGTGGAAGGGATGAGAAGATAGGTATCACGTCATTTTTGGTGTTCCTGGAGGACAGCATCGGTACTTTTATGTGGTAAGCTAACGTTCTTCGACGTCTTCACATCCAGACACCAGAATTACATGGTAGAGCATTCGATCACAAGTCCACCGGTAGTGCGGGAGACCTTTTCGTCTGTGGACCACTTTCGCCTCTTTCAGCGGATAATCTTCTTATAAGAAAAGCTGAATCTTGTGTGTGGACGTACTTCGTTTCAGCCTTGATTCCTTGATACTATCTCTATCAGAGATCCTCTTGTGCGAGTAAGGGAGCAAGGAACATGCCTAGCAGGATTGGCGGAGTTCCGCAAACTCGATGTTCAGAGAGCTTCAACTGGAATGAAGAGTAATGATGTGATCAATGGTGGTTGCTGGTTGTACCAAAAAAAACGTAGTCAATTCATGTCTGATTGCTTTTGAGCTCGATGGCAAGGCATTACTTCAGCCACCACATCTGCGTCCTAGGGCTTTTTGCTCAGCTCCGCAGAATGCCCGCCACAAAGGAGCTTTATCACCTGCCCTGTTCCCTCAAGAGGAAGTAGCCCGTTCTTAAATGCCTTTTTCATAGAACCAAACTCGTTGACAGGCTATGGGTCGTGAGTATGGGCTTTGGCCTAGGGTTTTGATTCTGTGTATAGAGTGGGAGGAGGCGGAGGTGATATAGTGGCAGGTACACGCTTACCACGGGTACGACCGTAGGATCAAATCCTCGATAGGCTCCCACCCAACCAAGCCTTCTGCCCTCCGAGGAAATCGGCTCCAGGTTCGTCTGGGAGTATAAGAAAACCAACTTGTACATCGGCTGGCAATCTCAAGTCATTGTATAGGCCACTTAGCATTCAATAAGCCGCTACCATTCTGAGTGGAAATAGTATAAATACAAAATTATTTATTGTACAGCATTTTATGTGATTTTTATTCCGCAAACTGTTCACGGAT